TTTTTTTTTTGATCATATGATATAAGGTTATATGGTGAAACCATTTTTTTTATGCTTCTGTTAAATCGGTGTTGCTTTATAATGGTAATTTTTCCTTTTTTCTTTTGCAGATTTCAGTACAGATTTGTTTAAGTCTGGTTGAAAAGACGTTTTTTTTCTTTCTGAAACCCAGAAAATAGTTATAAGAAAAAAAAAAAAGGGAAAAAGGATTCTAAAAAATGATGGGGTATAAAGAAAAAAAAAAAAGGAAGAAACACTATACCAGAAATTAGCGGCTTGTTTTCAGTAGGCAAAACCCAACTGTTTCGTACACACACTTTTACAGTACAACCAGTAAAAAATAGTGCTGATAATACGAACAATAGTAAGAATGATAGTAGTAAAAATGTGCTAATAATAATAATAGTTTTTAGTGATTATTATTTGTTGTAAACGATAAAATTGTTTTTCTAAAGGTTTTTTAATTCGTGGATTAATCATTGTTTTCATTTAGTTCGTTTTTATTTCTATTTTTTTTGCTCTCTATTAAGTTCATTTCTGTTTCAAGGTAACGTAAAATATGAGCGATGGAGTTCCGAATAGGGAAATCGACGTGGTGGTATTCGGCAGTATTGTTCAAGATTTAATTAGGTTAGTTCGAACAGCATACAAATAATTTTTATTGACTCTAAGAATCAAGTTTTTTTTTTGTTGTTTTTTATTAAATGAACATCAATTGAATGAGCAATAAATAATGTTCTCTTTGGTTATTTTACCGTTCTTTATTTACTTATTTATTTATTTCTTTATTGGTTACTTTTTCATTTATTAGTTCTTTTTTTTTTTGCGCTATTACAGTATTGGGAAGAATTTTTCTTATCCTTTTTCATTATCATATATAAAGACACTCATTTACACGCATTCAAAACATATAAATTACGAAACAAATACGAATAAATATAAAATATACACTTTATATATAATTACTTGTATTTATATTTATATACGGGCCATTCCATGTCAGATTTTACAATCTTATCTCTCAGGGGCTTCTGTTTTTGAATATAAAATACTATTAAGTACAATAATATATATGTATAATTTATTGAAACATTCTGCAATTCCACTGTTTCAGTAACAGTTGATCAGCAAGAAAATTTTTTATTTTAAAATAATTTCAAAGAGTTTTTTTTCCAAAAGCTATTATTATGATAATTTTTTCGGTCTGTATCGTTTTGCTTCCTTACTGAACTTTTCTGATCCCAAATATTTCACATCGAGTACTGCTTTTTTCAATGCGAGTTTTGTCTTGCTGTTATTGTCTCCAACATTCTGCAGTATAATATAGCGGAATTTTTTGCACCTTTGACTGGTGGAACCTGCATGAAAAGTTGATAATGGAATTGCTTTTTACTTTTCATATTCTTGTGAAAAAATCCGTTGATCACTAATATCACTTTCCAGTGGAACTTAATATTTTCTTTGTAAAAGTTATCAGGAGTTATGATCCAGTCTGAAAGTGTTTCGTTTATGCTAGTGATCACTGCTAGCTTTCTCCTGTACCTCCTGTGTCGTTGCAGAATCTTTTTCATGTGTTACTGCGAAGAAGCGCTATTCTGCTGCGACTTCAAAGTTTATGCAACAAAAAAAAAAAAAAAAAAGATTTAGAAAGTTCTTCGCGGTTTTTGTATTGCATACGATGCTGATTATCAATTATATACTGTTCTCCGAGTTGTACTTCTCCTTCATAATGCTTATGAAGTGGTATTGCAATATATTTGTGGCCACAGCATCGTGGGTGAGGCAGTCTGATACTGCAACGAACCTGTAGGAAGTCGTAAGAGCAGCAGAATTTTCTTTTGGTATAAAGCAGATTGGTGAATCGTGGCTTCTTTATTTGTGCATTGGTATTCCTGACTGGTGTCCTGAATAACTATTACAAAGTTTTCAGCAAAACCTTGAATAAAGCAAAAAAAAACTTCAAAATTACTGAAAAGCAAAAATTTTTAACTAATCATTTGTTACTGAAGTAGCAGAATTGAAGGATTTTTCAATAAATTATGTTTGTTGTTATAACTAATAGTTGAAACGCTGTCATCTGTCATCTGCGGAAACGCCAAAATGTTGGAGATTCTTCTGAGATCTGCTGTCACTAGTCGCACCGCAGCTCATGATCCCACAAAGTTATCTCGTTGCGATTTTTGTACGGTGTGCAAAAAACTGTGCATTCAAAATATACATATTTTGAAAAAATTTAAAATTTCATTTTTTTTAGGAAGAGCTTTTTGAATTTTTGTTTTCATTTCATTTTTTTATAAAATTTGCTGGTATGCCTATTTTACCGCTGTTCTGAATCTGCAAGGCACATGCTTTCAGAGGAAGTAAAAAGCTGCAAAAAATCCTCCGGAAATGAAAAAAATACAAGTTTTCAAAGGTGTTCACATTGAGCAAAAACCGCTTTTTTTGCTCTATTTAGAACGTTCTAACTTTGGCGCTTGCTTGTTTTTTTGAGATAAATTTTTTTGTTTTCGCAGTAAGACATCAAGTGAGGAAAATGTTAAATTTGATGCCGAATTGCCTATATGTATTTGAGTGCGTGTGTGTGTGAACGTGATAGATATTTAGTATAAAACAATGAGCTGATATAACATCGATCTGGAATGGTTTAATGAGTTTGTTTACCTTTACAGCTCTTATCTTCAGTTTAAGGTTTCAGTCAAGCCTTTACGGCTGCTATCATTGATGTTGACGTTATAGCTTTTTGTTTCTGTTTCATGGGCTGGAATACAATTGTTCTTTTATGGCGGTGTGATTGAGATGATAATTGGGGAAGTGGATGGAAAGGATAAAGCGGGATTTAGAGTGTAAAACGATTTATTTGTTTTAAAAAATAAGAATAGTTTTGCTTACAGTTACTGCCACCGGTTTCCTCGCCCTGGTGAATCAGTTCGAGGTATCTCGTTTGAAGCAGGATGTGGTGGAAAAGGTGCTAATCAAGCAGCACAAATTGCACGACTTGGCGGAAGGGTTGTTATGGTTGGACGGGTAAGAAGAAAATTTTGTAGGCATTTTGTACTGTTTTTGTTTTTGTTTTTTTCTCATAAAGGAAAAAATAACAGCATGTTGCATTTTTAGTCGTAATTTGGTATTTTTTTAATTTGATAAGAATGTGGTTGTTTGTAAGGTTAGCTTTTGTTGAAACTATTGTTGAAAAAAAGGTAATGATAAAAGCACAAGAAATTAGAGAACAACGGCTCTTTTTTTTTGCATCTTGTTATTTTTTTTCAGGTCGGAAATGATATATTTGGCCCGTTGAATATTGAGAATTTGAATAAAAGTGGTGTAATAACAAATTTTATTGACCAAAGTGAAACTGTTGGTACGGCAACCGCTACAATAACCGTTAGCGATGAAGGTTAGTTTGTTACGTGATGCAGATATTTTTCCACACAATTCTCGGATACTTGTTGTTTTTTTTTTTTGCCTTACTTTTAGTGCTTTATTAAAATTGTTTTTTTTAATAAGCAAAAAATTTTAATCTGATTTGTCATGTTCAGCATGGTCTTATGGTAATAGTAACAGTAGTAATCGTAGTAGTATAGCAGAAGCAAGATGACAACAACAACAATAGAAACATTAGTTTTTTGTTATCGTTTTTTCCCTTATCTCCATCGTATTAGTGTGTTAATGACGTGATAATTGGGTTCTGGGGTTGTCGTACTATTGACTGTTCCGGGTGTTTAAAGTTTAAAGTTTTTTTCGATTATGTGAGAAATTTTTTACGGTTTTTCTAACCAAGTTAACCAAGTAAAATTTTTACGTAATTTCGAAAAAAAGGAAACGCATTTGAAAAGCTCAAATATAGTGGGTGGAAGTTAAAGGGGTATGGAGAAGGAGGTGGAGGGCGAGGAGGGTGGCTAGGGAAGTGTAGAATAAACAAGGTGTTTGTTAAAGAATTGGTAGCAGCATAATGCATGCACTCATATGATTTCGTCTTTTTTTTCACATTATTAAATTTTAATTGAAATTTAAATTTAGATTCGTTTGAGAATTTGAGAACCATTAATTTGATTAGGGGTAAAAGGGAGTGCTAAATTTTCTTTCTAATGATTGTTTTTTTTTATTTCCTTTTTCAGGTGAAAATTTAGTGGTGGTTACGTTGGGAGCAAATTTAGAAACTCCACCGTCACGCGCTGATGAATTGGAGCATGTTATTGCTAATTCTAAAATGATTCTATGTCAATATGAAATCGAACATGCAACAATCAAACGTGCATTTGAAGTAGCTAAACGAAATAATGGTATGTATAGAAATATAGATTTAGTTCATAAAGATTGAAACAACTTCAGTGTTATATGAAAATAATCAGTCAGTGTTTAATACACAAATTACTTGGCGATATAATATTGCATTTAAGTGAAAAGTGAATTTTATTGCATTTATTTTTACTTTTTTTGACCACCTGTAACTGTGCACAATTTTATGACACATAGTGCTCATGTCATTGTTTTACAGTAAAAACATTCTTCAACTTTGCACCGGATAAAGATGATTTCGATTTCGAAATTCTTCAGCTTGTTGATGTTCTTTGTACAAATGAGAAAGAGGTAATTTTTTATAGCACTTCAAAAACAGCGTGTTTGATTTGATGACTAGAACAAAAATTATTGTAAACTTAACCCCATCTAATTTTTTATGTGCTCCAGTACGGTTAGATGCAATTTGTAGACTGAATTTTTGTCTCGGATGACCATAAACAGCGTAGACGATGCAGTAAGTGCGGCACGATCTATGCTTAGATTTGGACCAACAGCTGTAATTGCAACGTTGGGAGCCCGAGGAGCTGTTGTGGTTACTAGATCTGGCCTATGTGTGCATATAAGTGTACCGCCAGTTAAGGCAGTTGATAGCACGGTTTGTTCACGAGTTTAGAAAATAAATATTTTTTTTTGAATTATTTATTTAAAAATTTTTCAAATATTTGTAAACTTTTTTTTTTCGCTTATCATATAATTATTCTCTCTTTTTTCTGCATAACAATTTTGCCCCGTTAATATATCCAAAATACAGCTATAGAGAAAAGTTTTATTTTTTAGGGGGCTGGAGACTCGTTCTGTGGCTCACTAGCTTATTTGATGACGTCAAAACCAAGACTATCTTTGGAGGAGCAAGTTAGGAGGGCTGCACTTATTGCATCAATAAGTGTGCAACGCAAAGGAACTCAGTCATCTTATCCATGGGCACATGATTTACCCGAAGACTTCTTGAACTAAATCGTTGGACATATTTTTTGCTGTAGAAATGTTTAATGTTTAATATGTTCAGTGGAACTCAGTGGATGATTAATTAGTTGTGAAAGTGAATATCCGTATTGTTTTTTTTCTTTCGATATACTATTTTATGTCGGACGTGCTTTCATACTTTTTTGGACAAATTCTATGTTTTATAGCTCTGTGAAGAAATAGGGCTTTATTATAATAATTTTGCCATGTTTTTTTTCTCTTATTTATTTTTTTTCCTCTCTGCACTTTACTTCCTGATAAGTTTAATTTTATCCCACCACCAAATGGCTCAGTATCCGTCTAGTTCAGTAGTTTTTCCCGGCAGGTTTTGTAGATAAACCAATTATTTTTATCCTCATGACTTTTGGTAGCAGTTCAATGCTTATTTTCAACGCAAAAGAGAAAGAATATTTGTCTAACATATTATTAAAGTATTGTTGAAGTTTTTATGTGCCTCAGTTGATTTTGCTCTTAATATCTGCTTACGCCTGTAGCTTGCATATGTAAACTTCAGTGGAATTCCCTAGTGTTTCTTACTCGTTGAACACCAGATGAAGCGAAAAATTTGCAGCGTTATTCAGGGGAGTTGGGTGGCGTCAGCATGCTACTTCTGTAAATAATTTGTAAAAAATCTGTTGTTCGGTTTGATTTTGTCTTCGAAATCATTTATCTCGATTGTCTATTGAAGCGTTGTTATAAGTGTATATATGAGGTTGTGCAGTAAATCATTGTGGAAAAGTCTTTCCGTAGCGAAGATATTTTGAAGTCACCAGTTAGCAGCTGTTCTTTCAAAAATCAAAGCATCTCACGCGCCATTTTGAGATTTTACAGTAACGGCCAAATCGGTTTTTGGGCAAAATAGTGGAGGATTTGGGAGTGTCATTTCAACTTTCTCGTCCAATTCCTTCAGTAATTCAGCAAGCGGTTGGGAGGAGCTTTTATTTTAATGTTTAGCGTTTTTATAAGACTGTAGTAACAATTATTACTGTCAACAATAAACAGACATTCCAACAACATGACAAAAAACAAGGCCACCATACCTCAAAAAAAGCAGTGGGAAAATAAGTGGTTTATGATTAAAAATAGCTTAACCACCGTGTAGAAACTACATGTGGTATTGTACTTGAAATGTTAAAGGAGAGAAAAGATGGATGACATCTCAAAACAGGAAATGATGGTTGGAAAAACACTCACTTTCACTCAGCCTATACAATGCCGTTGTTCGTACCTGTTTAGTAGTAGGTTTTTCAATTGAGTGCTGAAAATTTTTCTAAAAATCTTGAAGCTTCAAAATCTTGTCGATGAAATAATAGTATTAAAAAACTTGTCTTTTATATAATGAGCAAAAGTTTGAAGGAAAATTACACGGTAATAATATAATAGTTTAAAGTACCAAAACATCCGCAACTGCTTTTACTGCGCCATCCCAGAAGACATTTTGATTTCGAACTGCAGATTAATATTTACAGTGGATAATTCTGAAGCCAAGAATCTTAGAACCCGGGGTACTTCGACTGCATAAATTTCATCACTCTTCCTGCACATTCGGCAGATTTGCTTTTCAGTAAAGTCCTCAAGAGATTTCTAAACGAATCACCGATAACCAAGACTTTTCAAAACTTTTAACGCCGTTACACCATATCTATCAAAAATCTAAGTTTGTGCGAACCAAGGCAAAAGATTCAAAAATTATACCTTTTTTGCATCTCGAAGAGACAGAAGAGAAGCCCTCATAGTGGACACAATAGACTTGCACCGCGCGCAGACATAAGCAAGGTCACGATCCGAACAGTTAAATAGGCGATCCTTGATGGTAAAATAGAATGAAAGTAACTGCCAAAAAGAGGAGAAGTTTGAGAAAAAATTGTAAGTCTTCTTACTTATTTGTACTCGAATGTTGAAAAAGAAAAGTATCCAGATGCAGTATTTGCTAAACGACCAACAAGAAATTTAAAGTGTAAATTCGGCACAAGGTAGTACGATAACCTTGCTATTTTCAGTTGAACACAAATTTCCTAAAACTATTAAATTGCGAAATATAGTACATGAAGAGCAAATGCAGCGCCATGTGCAATCACAGCATCGCGTTCCATTTCACCAAATCGAATGCCGCCACCTTTCTTTCTGCCTTTTACAGGCTGCAGTGTTGCTGGGTCTACCGGACCAGTAGCGCGTACTTGAAATTTATCTGCTACCATATGCCTCAGCCTTTGGTAATAAACTATACCAAAGAAAATTTGCACCTACGTAGAATAATTAATCAGTGGTAAACAGGCTAACTCGTTAATGCAGTATGGGTTATAGAGAACATAAACATCCAAAAGGTAAACTAACTTCCATTTCGCGTCCATCCACACCAGAATACATTGTTTCATTACCGTAGTAATTATAACCAGCCGATGTAAGCAGTTTACCGAAATAATCAATTGCAGTAGAATCTTCACTAAATATTCGGTCACTATCTTTTAATGTTACTCATGATATAAGTGAGGCAAGAGCAATTGGCAATCGCCAGCCCTTGCATTAATTAGTTTAAATTAATTAACAGTTGTAAAACCCTTTTTAAAAAGGGAAGAAAGGTTTGTTATAATCCAAGCATATCTCTTTACTCCTAACCACCTAACTAAAGCCTCCTATTCTAGCCTGACGAGGGGAAAAATATTTTGGACTGACAAAAACTATAAACAGCAACCAGTTATCTGAATAAACAAAAACAAGTTTTAAATGAACGTCAAAAATCTAGTACTACTCGTTTTCAACTACAACAAAACCAATCTTTTAGTTAGTGGCGATGTTATAATTTTAGGTATATACTTTACTAATATATGAAAACATTATTTTCTAATTGTTTGCTCAGACCAACACACATAGTTATTCCTGTCATCAATCTTACGCTATCGAATTATTTTTTTGTCCTGCAAATAAGGCTTAAAGCATTATCAAGCCAATGCTTTAACCAGAAAACTCCTGTACCACAAATTCCTCCAAATGAGACATGATATGCTTCATGTTTTCTATTGTATGAAATGACAGTCTTATACTTTTGAGCCAACTTTCTCTTCAAAAAAAGCCACAAAGCTCTTTTTCTTTAAAAACTACTCAGCATTTTTTCACATAACACTAAGTTCAAAAAATTTATTGAAACACTTAAATTTTATTATTCTTCCCCTGTCTTCTTTTCTTTTTGCTTCGCAGATCACTTTTTCTTTCTAAAACTCCTCTGCGATTACGACCCTTTGAAGGGAATGCCTACTAAGGAAAGACTCATAAATGAGCTATTTCTAGAGACTTGTTCTTCAGTCAGCAGTCCCTCAAGACAGCTTTCAAGTGTAAGCGATCGCCCACTTTTGCGCTATGAACCAAGTCTTGAAACAAGCAAAAAATACTTGAAGACGAAAGGAGAAGCATCGTAAATAGCACCATGCATAGCAGCCGCTTTACCAGCCATACTTTCTATCATCATGCCTAAAAAAAAACTAATTAAAATTACCGATAAGGAATGTTTCTTGACAAAAGAACTGACCACAGAACTGTGTCCAAAAACAGTATTCCAAAAAATACTCATCCTCCTCAACATTGACCTTCTAGACAAAAAGCGGAAGAAAATAAAAACCTTTTGAAAATTACAGGGAAGCAGGGCATTGACATACCTATAGTCATACGTGATGGAAAGCCGTGAGGATTAAAAATAATATCAGGAACCATCCCTGATTCAGAAAATGGCATCGACTCCGCAGGCCACAGGAAAGAATTAATTCCCTTCTGCCCATGACGGGATGCAAATTTATCGCCGATAATTGGATTACGTTGAATGCGCCACTGTATTAAAGCATGCTGAAAAGAAAAAGAAAAGCAGTTAGAATCCTTCATGCAGAAGAAATAAAGGCAATTTCAAATGAGGTAACTTTTGAAATCTTATAGAAAGAGAAGTCTAACCTCGCAATGGCAAGGTACCACAAAATCCATCAGTATTTGACATCCACATCCCCTAATGAAATTTTTTTCAGTTTCCCCATTTTGACCCCGTTTCACGAAGTGATGGAGAAGCTTCACAGCTCAAGATGACCAGAATCCCCAACAGTAAGATACAGCTCACAGAAATAGAATTACTACTGATAAAGGTTTGATTTTCCATCAAAAAAGCAAATTTAAAAAAACTAACTCACTCCCTGAAGCAAGATAATCTCTTCATCCTAATCTCAATGCAAAAAAACAATTGAAAATAATACTTACACGTTTCCCAACATAAGCGCTTTCGTAAACAATACGAACTAATCCACAAAATGCAGCTTCACTAGCCTTGTATTTATAAATACGATAATTTCCATTGTCCAGATCAAAAACAGAACAATATGGATCATTTTCGTTGTACAAGCGACCTGGAATTGGTAACCCATCCTCACCAATGGAATCATATTGATGTGACGGATCCGATAAAAAAACAAGGTTTGCAGTTGCCGCGTCCACCGCCAGATTTAATCTACAATGAACATTCACCAACGACGTCGTGCAATAAAACTTACGAAACAAAAATAGATTTCTTAATTTTGCTGCTGACCATTACCATTTCAATTCATTAAACTGTATACAGCAGCCGAGATATGTTTCACAGAAATTTGGATGTTAACGCTAAACGAAACAGACATATTATCAGTAAATAAAGAGAAGAGGATTTAACCTTTCAACTTTAATTACTGTCCCATGGGCAAAGCCTCTTTGGAAGGAACTTTTATTGATTACCATAGCGTCCTCCATGTCATATCCTGAAACGCAGACAACTAATAACTGTCCAAAAAAGAGATCATCGTGGTTATAATTGCGATGTCGCACAACAGAAGTAGTTTTAATCAGACAGTACGAAAATGGTAAGATCAAATTAATTAAGAAAAAACTGGACTAAGAGTGAGGAAAAAACTACCAGTGTAAGATATAACTGCCACACAAGCATTTGTTCCTAAAGGGTATTCACCCATCTCATACACTCGGTATGCTTCCAACATGAGTAAAGGGTCTTGTGGGAACTGAAAAAAATTTATCAGAAAATATAGACAACAGCGGGTGCAATATCTAATTTCTCACCTGCAAACGATACATCTTGTTGTCAGCTCTGCAATGCCAAGCATGAACTGGAGTCCCCATCGTTTGTTTACCCATCTGACATTGATAAACGTTCCGAGGTGATTGGTTGTGGTCAGGAAAAGGAATAAGATTGGCAGCGAAACTGAACAGACAGCTGGGATGTTGCTCTTGATGCTGCGTAACACCAGGCTCGGCTTCCTCGGGGTCAATACAAATTGAAAGATAAACTTGCTCAAAAGTACCTGTAAATTCCTGGATTAAACGCGGTAAGTGCCTTTTATATTTTATAATGCTCCTGATACTTATATTACAAAAAGTAACCTATCAACTCTGTGCATTTGGCTACTAAGTTGTAGACTGGCCGTACTAATCGAGCTGGGCCAGTAAAAATATATAAGCCTGGATATTGCGTCTGTATTTTGGATGGGTCAGGTGAGTATTCAATTAAAGTAATTTCTGACACATAAGGAACTCTGGAGTCATTAGCGCTAACTTTGGCCAGGCGAAGCTGGTGTTCAACCAATTTTGCTTTCTTTACTGGCACGTAACCAACGAAACGACCATCGACCATTACATTGTACAACTACAGAGACGAAGCATTATATGTAAATAAACAATAATGTTAATGAAATAAACCATTTGTTATAGCCAAGGAACCTTTTGAGATAACTCAAACGCACGTTCATGATGCCCAAAAATTCCGAGTTCACCTAGATACTGCAGTAGTCCCTCAGTATGAGATAAATCAGTTACTATGCGAACATTTGCCGTTACGTGATTTAGTAAACCACAAGGAGCTCCATCTGGGGTGTGTACAGGACAAATGAAACCCCATGCTTCAGGGCGTAACTTTCGCACATCTGTGGTGCGCATTTCCATAAAGAATGCTCCGCGATGTATAGCTCTAAAATTTTCACGTTTATTCAAAGAAATGCAGTTTGAAATTCTCATTACCGCTTTAACCAAATTGGATATTTTAGGATATGCTGTAACAATTGCCTGAAATGAGAGACGAATCGTAAGTGGTTGATCCTTTCAGCAATTACAGAGAAGCCTGTGTCCTGTTGCAATCCAAGACCGCCTCTCGTGATCAAGTTACCCGTGGCCAGAAAAAATTCTAAACCATGTGTTACAGGACCACCTCCTCGTTGGTTACCAATCGCCTTCAACAAATCCCGACTGAAAGAACATACACTTCAACCGAACCGTTCGGCTCGTAAGACAAATGACCAAGTAAGAAACCTCGTAAGAGTGGCTTGAAGCGTCTTGCGTTTCTCATTAGATTCTATTCTTCTCCGTGCAGTATTTAATAGGAGTTCCAATCGCTCTCTGATAATAAGTAAAATTATATGACCGGAAACAAGCCCCTCCTGGAACTGAGGGTTGTCAGGAGATTCCGGCGCACATTCGCCATTCACTAGGGCCACCAACTTTTGTGTCATATAAGCAAGTAAAAAGAACTTATCCTCATTACTGTTCAAGTGAATTGCAACGCAATAGCGCAGCAAATAACGTGCAACGTCCTTAAAAAAACAGAGTTAACAACAATATAAGAGTTTCAAAACTGCAGCATAACAACATGACGACCATTGTTAAGTAAAAATCCAGCTTCAGGAAGAACTAACAGCATCTGTTTCCCATGGACCGACTCTTTCACCAAGTATGACTCTGAACTTGCTACCTAGGAGATTCAAAGCTTTTTCTTGATTTATTACACCATCCTCTTGGCATATTGCTAACATTGAGTTCACGCAACCTGTTAATAAAATAAATTCATATCACAGCACAATCATTTCATTAAGAGAAAAAATGTTTGTTGGATTACCTTTCCAGAAATTGTCACCACTACGACCTCTAACAAGATGATCACGAATTGTTATGTCTGTCATTGGCACAAGGGCTTTCAAAATATACATTAAGGGTATATAAAACAATTCCCGGCGAAACTAAATAATGTAAACCCGCTTTCCCTAAACAGTATAAACAATGTTCCTGAAAATGTAGAAAAAACCCACCTGTATTGCAACACAAATTGCGCCACTTTCCTGATAATGGAGAGTAAGCATTGCAGCTGAATGACTTTCTCTCACGCATCGAATCATCACACCGTACTGCGTAAACATCTTACCCTTCTCACGAAAAGAACGTCTAACAATTGCAAGAGGATAGTTTTGGCGATTGGCTACTAGCAGTCGAATCACCTGAATTTTTAAAAAAGCTTTTTTCTAATTTTTTAAGAAAAATAGTTCAGCAAATGAGTTATGAAGTCACCAATTAAAAAGAGCCCAATAACTGATGACCTCTTCAAAAAAGAGCAAAATATTCGGTGACAAAATCATATGATCACCTTCTCACTCCCTTTGCATATAAAGTATCCTCCTTTTTCTGTCGCTTCTTCGCCTCGAGCAACCAGCTGCTGTTTCGAAAGACCGTACAAATGGCACCGAATTGACCGTAACATTATTGGAACCTGAATATGCTTGTTACCATCGAAAAGTTCCTAGATTTAAAAACACAAGAAAGCAACTAAACAAAAATTATTTTATAAAAACTACATTCCGAAAATCATGTAATCTTCGTGTTACAATATAAACAACTTCTAAGAACTTATAGAAGTAATTAATACACAGAAAATACTCATAGTTAAGCAAGCAGACAACTGAAATACTAAAAGAAACCTCTCCAGCCAAACATTCACAAGACTCTATTCGGATGCCATTTACAAATATTTGAATAACGACCTTTAGTGGAGCCCTGTAAGTTAAACCCCTTTGCCGACACTCACTTGGATAAATTTTCAACATGTCTACATTGCCGGCGCCCTGAAATTGTGCAACGCGAATGTCTGATACTTAAAATAACAAAAACAAACTTAGCCATGCAGTCAAACAAAGCAACCTACTGAATTTTCTATGGCTGGATAACCAAGTTCTGCGCCGGTATACTTTAGTTCAACTGCATCGCCATTCTCCATTCGGAACTTCTCGGCCGGAACATCTAACGCTGCTAATTTAATGCCCTTTTGTGCCAAATAATTAAACGACTCGACATGGTAAGAAGAAATGTCGCAAGGTTCCATTTGCAGCTATAAGAACTACAATAGCAGAGCAATAAGCTCATCAAACCACGTCACTCAACAGTAAACTTAGCAGAATTGGCACTAGCTTCCTAAAAGACTAAAATTGAATCAGCTTAACGGAACCGTACTTTGCAAACTTGATATGAAATATAGAGTCAATCACCACACAAAAAGCATAGATTTTTTTTCCACATAAAAGTCGCCCTACAAGCTGAAAAAATTTAGCAGTTATGGTCACAAGTGCGGAACAAAATAGCACCAAAGTAGTATGGTTCCAAAATCACATGATAGTTCAAATTATTTTATTCTCTGCGTCTTAAAAATAGTGTCACATCCCAAAAACTTTAAACGAACAATACAGACGAATGCTATTCAAAGGAGGTAAACATTTCCAGCAAGTCCTATTAACACAAGGATCAGCAGTACAAAGACGCATTTTTTAAGGTTTTATACCAGCAGACCTTATTATAAAAGCACCCTCTTAAGAATGTGTAGCCAAAAACCCCTACTGCGTCCAAATGGTCCGGACGAACAACTATAAAAACGTAACTGGATATTCTTGGTCCAACCGAACTTAATTTAAAACTGCTGGCATTAGCTTAAAACTAATCTCAGAAGTCACAAATAAGTAAAATTTTTAACAAAAAATAATGTCAAAGTTGTGCGAATTCAGGGTCGTTTAGAACTAAAAGAAACAAAAACATTACATGAATCCCACCTAGTAAGCGCTGCAGAAACCTTATGGTTCAAGGATATCTCCAGCAAGATCCCCAGTATTCTGCCTCAAATTAATTACGGGTTGCACTGGATCTGTAATTAATGCCCAGTTCATCTATACACATCTCTAATTTCTGAAAAACAATTTCGCAGAAAAAAATAAATGAACAAGACAGCAGCGGCATCTTGTCAACATTTAATTTTTATGTTTACCTTCATAAACTGTAACTAGACACAATAATTACAGCTCCAGAATGAGATCGACCAAATATACAACGACAAAAAGATAATCAAAAATTATGATATTTTTTCGTCATCACTTGCTGCTTCTAAATCTCGCCTAGCCCTAACGAGTAATTCGTCCTCTTCCTCTTCTTGAGGCCCTTAATCATGATACCATAATTTAAGAGATGGATACACAGAAAGTTATGGAACAATGAATGGAAATTTTTCGAAATTTCTCGACAGAAAAATTAGATACTGTAATACTGATAATGACCTCTTTCGGACACCGAGTAATGTAAAGAAAATCATTCCAACATATTAGGAAAACTCTTAGATAATATTCTGTAAACTTTTGCAGTTTGACGGTAATCTTTAAATTCTTAACAGAAACCTGTACTATAGTGGCTGTCGAATAAGGTTGCAGAATAGCCATGAATTTCCTCGCTATCATATATATTATTACTGTACTCCTAAAAATTTTAAGGTCACTGCGGAAAAAAGTATAAGCTTAAAAATTATTTAAATAAGATTTGCCAAGACCTCTCCAACCTGTGCTTGAGGTTCATTATCTTGCGTTAGTTCGCTGTCCTTTCCAACTACTTGGCGAGTTCCGTCGTCCACCCTGCTGATACATATAGTTCGATCTTCTCCTACTGAAGCCAGAAATTGATTGTCAAATGAGAACGAGACACTGGTAACCTAAAAAATCATAGTTGACCACTCTTCCACTCACGAATACTTAAGGTCATTCAGAAACGAAGACTCACTACTCCTTCGTGTAAATTTTGAAACATATATAAAGGTTGAGTTGACTGCGCATTCCAGATGATTACCGAACTGTCATTAGAACAACTAGCAAATCTGAAAAAATAATCAGATTATGGAAACGAATAAAGTTTTCATAATCTGAAGAACCAAACGTCAACGACAAACAAAAACTACCCCCAAAAAAACTCCGAAATGTGAAGCTGAACCTCCAGTAACATTCAAAATGAATCGTAAAAACAGAACACACTTATTCATATCTTCCCATATTACTCAAAAATTTCATCCACTCTAGAACAACTTTAAAAGCCAGACTTTGCAAACGCTGAAAAACCTAATCTACCTCATGATTACCGTTACTGTCCAACATCTGCTGGCAACTTAGTTTGGCCCCAGATGCAACCGTTAATCAGCATCTTCAAAATCAAGAAGGAAAAAAACTGTCAGCAAGCAACTGTCAGAGGGAACAACAAGCAAAATAATTTGAGAACTTTTCTGCCCAACCCAGAAAAACCCATCATCTACACCCACAGATAAAAATTGACTTTATAAAGCATTACTGTTGTACCTCTGTAACAACAAACTCACAGCACAACTAGCTACTACTAAATCCAAATGCAGCAAAATCTTACAAAGCATAATTCCACTGTAAAACAATACTGTTCCATAATTACACAAAAAATCTTGTGATTCATCTAGATATTCTGTCAGAATTCGATTCTCCGCGTTGTACTAACTTTAAATGAATTCTCCATTTGGAGAAGCAGTAACAGTAGCAAAAAGTTTTTCCTCAGCCACAATACTCAATAGCCTTGTACAAATGACAAAGCAACAAATTGATTTAAAGCCAGAAACCGAGGCAACAATCTAGGGTTTGCAAGAATTTCTCATAATGGCAAAAACCAGAAATGAGAACATAAAAAATGTAAGCAACCACTCTAAAGCCAAAAGCTCGCAAGATTCATTAAAGAGATGGTAACAAATAAGCAGTTTCTCAATTTGAATGATGATGGCCCTGTGTAAAAAAAACAAATTACCCACTTTTAAAAAATAATAAGAGCAAACTACCTCTATCTTTGTAAAACTACAAAGACATTTTCACCACTTTCAAATAAACCGTTAACTCTCAAGTTTTCCAAGACAACAGAATCCCTAAAGTCCAGAAAAAAAACAAACCCTAACTAAGGCACCTTAAGGTAATACTCAGTTTAGCTTTTCAAAAAAATTAAAACGTTTCAAATCACTTTTAACATTTTTTTCAAGACGTGAGAAAATGTATTTGTTAGCACCAACAGATTATCAATACACATTTTATTATCTTCATAAAAAGTTTAAAAGAATTTATAACTTTTAAAAACTATTTTGACGCTCACTCCACATCATGAAAAGTTCATTTACCTCTGTCCATCGTAACTCCGATCAAACTGAACTGCAGTAATATAATTCCTGTGACCGCAAAACGTGCTTACATGCTGCGCCTTTGATCCTAATCTGCAAGGAGAAACAGCAGTTAATCATTTAATCATCAAGGAATATCGCATAATGAAAATCATAAATTTGAATCGCAAACTGAAAGGAAAAGAAGAAAACAATTACATTTCGTAGAGTTTTACTGTTTTATCATCAGAGCCAGTCAAAACATGTTTCGAGTCCGGAGAAAAGTTTATTGCTCTCACCTTCAGTGCGTGAGCTAGAAGTAGAAACTCTTAGTTAAATCCAAGGATGAAGCATTCTATGGGATGACTTCTTGTTACAAAACAAATTTTAAAGAACAAAAGTTAAAACTAACCTTCAAAATAAAACTTTGAAGCCAAATTAGCAGAATCTACAATAGTGACTATTCCTTCATTATTTGCTACAGCTACTGACTTGCCATCAGGACTCTAAACATAAAATCTCAGACTCATGATGGAATGCAAAATTCAATCAAAAGTAAGTTCTAGAAGGAAAATACAATGTGGACAATGCATACACAAGCTAAAGCAGATATCTGCTTAACGCCATTGAAAGGAGCGGTTTTTGTGACCTTGCCTGTCATATCCAAAGCAATTAATGAGCCGGAATATCGAGCTAAAAAACGGATACCATGCTAAAGGCATTCACACTCTCTAGTAATCAAGTCAACTTCACTGTCATCTTTCCACAAGCATAGCTTTCAACGGTTAACCAAAATGACGACATTTACGAAATTAATATCTGCAGGTCACAAACTAGAGATGTACTCCGACTGGTTGGGCACAATGCACAAAAACCATATCTCCATAAACCCGGTATCAAATACTTCTCTGCTGGCGACTGAATGATCATCTGCAGGTAATGTAATTTGGTGCAAGGTAGAATCGACACTTACTATCGCAGCAACTAAATGTGGTAAGTTTGAAGATTTAAGTAAATAAAGTTGGCGATCTAGGACAAGATCGTTGCCGAATACTAACTGAAAAGAATAAATTAACAATTTTTTGACTTTTTTTTTTTTTTTTTT